CCGGGTGCACCAAGGGTCAGCTCTGAGCCCGTTCCTCTTCCTCCTAACACTAGATGTCCTGGTGAAGGGGCTCATGGAAGGACCACTGAAGACCATCCTCTACGCTGACGACATCGCCCTGATAGCGGATAGCAGAGAGGAACTTCAGCCAAGGTGCAGAAATGGCAGAAAGTCCTGGCAGAAGGTGGGCTCCGGCTGAATGTCAAGAAGACCAAGTTCCTGAGCTGAAGAGGGTGCAGAGCCGATCGTGGACGGCCATGGTGAGACCATCGAAAGAGTGGAGGACTTCCGATACCTTGGGAGCGATCTGGCAGCCGACGGTAGTGTGGATCAGGCTGAAGGCTCGATCAACGCTGCATGGATGAAATGGAGGGAGTCCACTGGAATCCTCTGCGATCGAAGGTGCTCCAGAACGCTCAAAGGGAAGGTGTACCGGACAGTGGTAAGGCTGCTACGGCAGCGAGTGCTGGCCCCTGAACAAGAATCACGAAAGGCAGCTTCACTCCGCCGAAATGAGGATGCTGAGATGGGCCTGCGGCTGGACGCGGCTGGACAGGGTCAGAAACGAGGATGTCAGAGCGGTCATGCAGACTGCCCCTGTCCAGCTGAAGGTACGGGAACAGCGTCTGCGATGGTATGGGCATGTGCTAAGGAGGCCACAGGACCATCCGATAAGAACAGCGATGGACTTCGAAGTGCAAGGCAAGCGACCGCGAGGAGCCCCAAAGAAGAGGTGGAAGGACGTAATCAAGAAGGACCTAAGTGAAGTCACGGCCACGATGGAAGATGCCCTGGACAGAGCAAAGTGGCGACGACTGACAAAAACAGCGGACCCTGCGACTGCGCGGGACTAACGCTAGGGAGAAGAAGAATTTAGCTTTGACAAACATGGCCTGTGAAGTCGAAGATACGGAGTCTGCAAAGAGCTGGACGCCTCGTAGGCTTCGAATCCTTTTTTCTTCATGTTGTTCATCTTATTGTTCCGGAACAAACGAGAGCAGAATAAAGTGAGGTCCTACTCTATTGATGCGGGGGAAATGATCCCATTCTACTTTTCCGAATTTTGCTGAGGGCTTTTTCTGCCAGGTTCTGATCTGAAGAAGTTCTGTTGTCATGCACCTGCTCTTGGTGGAGCAGTGCATAGCGCGACGAGGGCGGCCTGTCGTTGACAGAGCCGTGAACACTAGACCTTGCTTCAATCCAAGTTCTGAGTTGCGGAGTACGGAGTTCTTTCGCGCCATAGTAGAGAAAGACATGCCATTTCTTCAAAGATGTCGAGATTCAAAGTGCGCGTCTGCTCACAGCTGCTTGGACGAGCTGTCATGTAGGGAAGAATTGGTCAAATTGGAGAAAAGGCGTCCGAGGATCCACGATTACCAAGCTGTTGCGGCGCTCCGCCTCGATCGGGGGAAACTCTGGCAGTTACAACTTCTGATGCTTTGCAAAAAAACGTTAGCTGTTGTGTTACCCATCTCCATACTGGTCCTAGCAATCCTATGCAAGAGATTACGGTTAGCAGCGCGTGGTGACTTTGGAAGCTCACACGCCGTCCAGCAAGGAACCGCCTCATGTTTTTGTTGTTTTTTACATCTTTGACAGCAGCCGAGGCCGACTATTTCGCTAAGAACTTGCCTAGAGTCCGCTAGTTCACTCCTTCATCACACAGTAAGAAGGCTATTTTGCCACGGGACAAAGGCCGTAACCCCTGTGCTATGGGTGCCATGGGCCAAACTCACATAGCAAACGAGCACTAAACTCATTTATATTAGAAACTGCTCCAAAACGGCCACATAAGGGCAACTGCGAGCAGTGCTTGCGACCCTACAGAAGATTTCTTGATTCATAGTGTGCAAAAGATAAAGGGCCAGCAAAACTTCGGTCGGAACTGGATTGCATACCTAGCAACCTCCTGTTGCACACTATCGCCAAACTGCGGGTAGTGGTCGGTATACTAAACTAGAATAGTCCACTGTCTTACACTCTTACATCTTACAACGGTGGCTCCTAACAATGCGAGAGGCGCTTAATCAAACAGTGTTGAGCAATAAAGATCGCATCATAAACTTCTGTTCCAGGAAAATCGATCAGCAGATTTCGGGATACCAAGCCCTCTTGGCGACCTATCTTCCCATGTTTCGGGTGATTCCCTTATTGTGATTAGTTGCATATTGCTAAATGTTTTATTCGGTGAGGCAAGTGATATGAGTCCTCCGGATCGAACATCTAGTCATAAGCAAGGACAATCCATTACAGACAAAGACCTCCATTAGAATTGTTTCCAAGCTTAACAATCGGAAGCGTCTTGTAGCACTTCAAGACCAGTGTTCTGTCCTTGCGAAAATACTTAGCAACCTCGCAATTCGTCGCCTAAACAGGTTAAACCACGCTTCCGCTCTCACACTTTTCAACACGTTGTGAAGGAAAGCATAAAGCTTCGGCATGCAGTCCGTCCGCTCTTGCAATGCGTCACTTATTCACTTTCATTAAGGGCACGTGTCCGCGATTTCATCTGAGATCTCTCCTAGACTGGAGAAGCAAGACCACCAATCTGGGGGTGTTGGTACTGTAGCGACTAGAAACTGCGTGACAATGAAGCTAATGCCTTTGCTTCTCCCCTGAGACCGCGTCACGCTTGTCAATCGCGGCAGATGTAACATCTACGCCTCTCGCGTATGCCTGGTACTCTTGTTATTTTCCCGCTAATGTTCCTCCTCGCACTTCCTCTCTACATTTACAACAAAATCAACACTTCGCGAAATCTTGGCGTCGTTCATCCGTGCCGGTCAATAGCCGTGGAGCCAATTTGGATGCGATCCTCGACTTCGTCACGTACCTTCAAGAATCTGAGGAGTTGTGCAATTGGTCGTACGGAGGAGTGGGACGAGTCCAAGCTAAAGTACGAGCCAGTATTCTTTATACTTCCACACGAACTTGGCACATATAAAACAACTCCACAGGGATGGAATGCTGATGGAGTTATGTGAGATTCGAACCGAGATTTGGCCCACGGGCCGTGGGCGTGATCGGTAACCTGATTTGTCAGTTTCCACTGCGCCACCTCCGCCACGACTTGAGGTAAGGTTTAGCGTATATAATCCCGCATTCCGGCCACTTCAGAAGCGTCGTTCAGGGCCATCATTTTGCCTTTGCAAATATGCGCAAATCACTTAACTTAAAATTCAGAATCCTGACGCGTACATCATCAGTCCGGATCCCAACTATGCACAAAACTTGCTATTCAGTGAGGAACAGTATTCAGCATTTACACCAAAATCAAGCTCCACGAGTTTTGAAACGGGGTCCATGAGCCTTTGGGGAATGCACCCATTGTAAAGCGCCGGTGTGTAGAGAACGTCTCGGACTCTCCCAGGAGCAGTACATCAACACTCCGGATTTCAGAGCAACTTTTGCAGGCTTTGGACTCCGGCACTGCATAGGCACACCAGTCGAACGAAATTCAAACCGTCGTAGCGATAATAGCTTTGGCCATCACGCGGAATAAACGGTCGACCGCTGTGAAAACCTCTGAAACTGGATAGGAAGATGACAGTGAATGACTTTCCACATCCGCTCCGTTCCGAAAGACTTGTTATTACTGAAAACATCCCAGTGGTACCTCTCACCACGAGTCTTGCCTACATGAAAACGCTCTCAAGAGTAGCTCGCTGATACATCTGTTCGGTGCAATACATTAATAGTGTCAGGATAAGGGAACGACTCACATTTCGAAAAGCCGCTCCAACTACCTATTCTATGGCACACAGTAGTCGGAAAATTTCGCATTACCCAAAAAAGGGCGAAT